CACATCTACCAAAAAAGAAAATGTAAAAACCATAGAAAACACCACTACTTGTGCCTACAAACAGCAATTATCATTAGAGCATGGAATGTAATGGAATTTGGGAAGGAGGCGGTAGAATAAGTCAACTGACACAGCCTGTCACCAGCAAGTTTCAATAATACCTGTGTTTAGAGATCCTCATTTTCACATGCTTTTAATGGCTTAGTCAAAGCATGGCTGTGATGAAAACTCTGGACAAATGCTTTGATTTGGGGTGCACTAAAGCAGCCTGCAAAGGTCTGGCTTCAGGAAAACACCCTTAACAATCCAGAACATTACATGGGCCTGTAGCTGGGTACCAAAAAGCACTAAAAAGATGCAAAGAGTTGGATCTAGGAGTTTGTCTCCCAACCATAATTCCTAACACTTTTCCTGCACACGCAGTGCTTGAGCAAAGCCTGGAAGAAGCTACACTCATGATACATCAAGGAAACGAAAATTATAGATCTTCTCTCCTTAGATTCGGGGACATCAGTTTTGTACAGCCAGGACATTTTCAGTTTGGTGTCTACTGGAACATACTTTTACTCTTCCTAAAAGTATTTTTACATATTTTAAAATATGATTCCTTCTCAAGTTACACGACAAAAAACCTTCCTTAAGGCAGCACAGAAAATTACTTAACTAGTCGTATTACTTTGCTATTCCACGCTAATAGCCCAGAGAACATTTTTAGGAGCTCTGAGGACATTTCATCACTTAGTCAAATTTCCCTTGTCTACAAAGCTTAATCCAAGACACAATACTTCTTAAAATATCACCATAAAAAGATCTTTTCACAGCTTTGCTTTTGTGCTGGCACATCTAACTTGCAATCATGTATTACAGGCTGGAGAAAACATTTGTGGAAGGAAAACATCTCCATAAAGAACATCTCCAATACTTTATGAAGTATTTCCTCAGAAATTTAATTTATTGGAAAAAGAAAAGACTCTACGTCAACAGGATATCATCAGTCTCCATTTAATAAAAGCCACTTTACCTCTTTGTCAAACTCCTGGTCAGGATCGGACATACTTCGGGAAGGCATGGCTCCTCCCACATCACTGCCACCTGCAGAGAAAGCAGGATAAAAAGGCAGGTTTACACCTCTTACTGAAGCCATAAATTACAGCTTAGAACTGACAAGCTTGCTTCCAGCCTTACTTGATGAGGGCCATGAACCTTAGGTTTTGTTTCTCTGCTGCTGCTGCTGCTGCCGTGAGAGGTTAGCTGTAGATGGACATGGTTTTTCATCCTGTGCAGCAGGTAGGACACTCTACAGTTGAAACGAAACACCTTGTTAGCCAGCAACAGAAGCTATTCAACTAGGAGCTGTTACTCATGAAAACTTTGCTGTGCTTTTGAAGCTATTACAACCCAGTGTTGTTAGAAAAACTCTGAACTTACTTGACCACATCCACATATTTTCAGTAACAGACACAAACCCTGAGAAAGACAGAGAAGGAACTAAGCCCCATAGCAGCCACTGGAACCTGCCAGCTAGCAAACCTTCTATGAAGGGGCAGG